AAAGGGTGCATGAATAGGCTATTCCCGACTCACAAGTCATTGGGTGTCCGTGGTCCTGCTACTGAGCGAGAGGCCCATGCACGTGTACCCGAGGACGATTGTTCAACGGGGACAGCAAAAGCAAACGTGGTTGCGACTATGGAAATGGCAATAATGATAGAGCGCATGATTATTAGTGAATAGAGTAAGAACTGATTAAAAGTGAGAAGAGCGGTAGAGTAAAGGTGATGTGTGTTGTAGAGAACGAACGGGGTGCTGGCAGAGGGTGCTTATATAGGAGCACTGGAAGCAACATGGGAACACTTACAGATCCAACAAAGGCCGTTTCAGCCATGTGAAGCCCCGTATCGGTCGTCTATCGGCATATTGCTGTGATAATACCTTCCGCGCCCATCTTCACTTGTGAAACTGAGGTGGACCGACTAACGGGGACGATTGTAAAGCGACCTCTCCCGTTTTCAGTCCTCTTAGTATCAAGAGATAGTATCAATGCCGTACTTACGAGGTCATATAGGGCAAATCAATTGATATACCGCCTTGTGAAACTTGCAACATGTCGAGGCGAGCTTCGAAGTGAAGCTACAGGCGGACGTTCACGTTCGACCTTCTCACAGTATCAACGTCGAATCGTCCGATAACCGCATTCTATGGCGACCTAAATCCGCCGGAATCATCAGAAACCTCGACTGGAACAAGATGGTTTCTGGCGACGAGGCGCATCCTTCTCCCTACTTGGCAATACTTGCCACGTATTACCTCCACCGCCATGATTACCGTTTTGAAACTTGAGATGAGGTCATCTTACGCGATGGAACTCTAAAGTATGACCTACGATTGAGCTGGTAGCGTACCGAACGTTGAACCTTCTGGTCCCGAAATGCGGCCTTTCTTATTTGTTTCCGGTAGTATCACATCAAACGATTGGATTCGTCGCATCGCTTATTGTTCCGATGTTGTTGACGAAAGGTAGGGGATATCGAGATGCGGAAATGATTAGTCTAATGGTCTGGGGGTTGCTTGTCTCTTAACGAGTATTCGGACTGCGGATGGTGTACATACAGACCATATCAGGTGTGTGAAGGCTGATATATGACACTTTATCCGTAAGCACGTCTTGAGAAATTGACGAAGGCGTACGAAGCAATGTGGCGGAGGAAGAATCGTAAATCATTACAAATGTTCGTTTTTGTGTTCTACTTTTCCCAACCACTCTAGCCAATGACCACGGCGCGAAACGCCCCAGATAGTCAGGATGAGACAGGTCAACATATGTTACTCTCATTTCTTGCTACCCAAAATCAGGCATCTCTAGTACGGTTGTACGGAAAACCTTCGGCGTGTCTGGCCCTGTTCCGGTGAACACCTTGCACTTGGTTCTTAAGGGTTTAACTCATGAAGAATGAGGCAGCTTGTTGAACCCATTAGAGCGTCAAATAGTAATGAACCATCTTTGGCTCGAAGGCCCTGTACAGTCTCAAACGATGAGTGCTTGGGTAACGAAGGAGGGCCGCAAGTATGCCACTCGTCCCAAACCTTTCCCCTCTAATACTCAACTTGCTTACAGGCAATACGACATAGCGATGCAGACTTTGCTATCCCTCCATATATTCCAAGCGAATACAGGGTTCACAAAACATACCTTAACGCCCTCTTTCCAAAAGAGCTTTCGTCTCGCCTTGACTGGAGGTGGCGACCACATGAGCTTTGGAGTTCCCTGCGAAAAGGATGAATCCAGTAACGTCTCAATAGAAATGCTTGATCAACATTCTGCGGATAAGTGGGAGGTGAGTCCTTCCAAACCTCCAGGGTCTCCTGCTGAACTGCTCATGGTCCTCCTAGTCTATTCTGCATTTCATGGTCTCATCAGGAACAGACCAGAAAATTCCGAAACTAACTAAAGGGATCCTTTTCCTCCTCGACCGGAGCGGTCTCATGGCGTGCGTCATCCAAGATGCGACTGCTAACCGATATTCACCTACGACCATTTCCAACGCAGTGGTCCAGGTATCCCAAGAATAACCTCTCAGGGATTCCAATTCCTTCTTAACTCACCCCACGCCCAACTATGGATCTTACTATTGGAGTATCTCAAAATATCCGAGGTGAGCCGGCAAGTCGTCGGACACAGCATTGTTCACCACCAGACCTTTCCTCAGGAACGTAACCTCGATACCGTAGAAGTGATACAGTTCCTATTCATGCTATCGACGATGCAGCTCGGCCAGGTTCGTCCCTTTGCCTTACACGACAACGGGGACCAAGGCGATCTTGTACTTCAGGAGTATTCCACGGAAAACTTTACGCCTACTCACCAAGCCATGCTCGTAGACCTACAGGACTATGGCCTATTATACCAACGAAAGGTTTTGCTCAAGTCATGTAGTACCGCACAGTCGACTGACGAGACTTTTGCAGCAAACACCCAATCGCATATACCCCACCCGACTCGCAACGTCATTGACGTCGGGTACGCCAGCCTCCATAAATGCACCAGGATCTGGAGGTCCGACTTCCCAAGGCTTCATCATTCTTGAGACCAACTATCGCCTGTACGCCTATACTGGTAAGGAACGTTGTGACACTAAATTATCTGAAATACCAAATGCTGAGAATTCTGCTAGAAAACCCGTTACAAGTTGCCATCCTTAATCTATTCGTGAACCTTAAAGGCCGGTTCCCTAATCTCATCACTGGGGCCATTACGAGAGAGAGCGT